GAGAGAGAGAGAGAGAGAGAGAGAGAGAGAGAGAGAGTCTCACTATGCTCCTCTCCTCTGGTTGGACTGGAACTAATGGAGATCTGCCTGCCTCTGCTTCCCAAGTGTTAGGACTAAAGATGTGTGCCATCATAGCTGACATAAAAACAGCTTTGTAATTTTTTCATTTATTCAACACACTTTAGATTAGTGTACATTAAGCCTAGCAGATCTGAGAATAGGCTTTAATGTCAATAATATTTTAATATCAGTGAATGAGTGTGCTCTTGGATGATTGTGATTTTTTTCATAGTTCAAAATGTTACATAGGCTCAATATGTATGTCTTAATTTAAAACCAAGCTGTTAGAATTTATCTTATTTTACTAGCTAGCCATTTTGATGATATTTTCTTTCATTTTTGAAATTAGAATTAGAATTTTATTTGAGTACCATGCCTTTATCACCTTCGTTGGAAAATCAGGATAGTATTAGAAAGCTATAAATAAAGCCATCCTAAAACTAATGGGCTAAAAAGAAAGATAGCCAGTAATTGCTTGTATGTAAGTAATTATAAGTAGTTGTTTATATGATAAGAGCAGTGCATTCAAAATTGGGCACGTCTTAGAAATCCATCACATGCTGAGCTTCTTCAAAGACGCTAGCCATTCACAAATAGATGCTGTGCTGAATGTAGGTCTTATGGCTTCACTTTTCTAGCTGTGCCAGAAGGCATCCCTAAGATCAGCTATCATTTCTTAGAAACTTCTCACATACTAGACCATCCCGTGTTAGGGATGCTTTCCCATTCTGATGGTGAAGACTAAATCTCATTTTAATGGTGGAAACAGTCAGAATCATTGTTTCCCTTTGTTCCTAGTGTATGAATGCAACAGGGACACTGGTCTGGCCCTTACCTTTGCAGCTGAGAATCTTCCAAAGGAAAGTAGCCTCAAGGAATAAAGTGATCAATGTTCATGGATATCTTTTCATCTGTTATTTCTTGAAGGAAGGGAGTTATTGAACAAAGCAAGGAAAGAAGAACAAGCTGGTGTGAGAACTCATAGGAGAGAGACACTGGCCTCTGCTTCCCAATTCTCTTGTGGGAAGTGCCCTTTGTCAGTGGGGACCTGTAGAACTTGAATGCTCCGGGATGTGTGGAGAACCGAAAGCCTTCCTCTTCTGAGGATAGTGTTGGTGCCTGTTCACAGTCGCAGGGTCCAGGAAGAACTTTCTTTTTGGATTGTACTCTGGTATTGACAGGTGGAGTGGGCAAGTTCTATAAGTTGGAGTGTGAGTTTGAACTTTAAATTAGACTATCTGGAAAAAAAAACCTCCAAATTCTACCCAGTGGTTACATTTCTTTGAATTTTATTCTATGCTGTTCTGGGAACTTACGGTATTCTAGAAAATAATGAAAACAGGCAATAACAGGAAGAGGTCATGTGGGAGACCTGGTAAAGCTGAGAGGTATTTTAGTTGCTTTGCTGTGGCCTCCATACATAAGCTTTGTATGGATAACTAGAGATAAGTCAAGTGTGGAATGCCAGGGTGCACTGACTTTCTGTTACTGGGTCTGTGCTCACATTTCCTCCTAAAATGTTTGTATACATATCATCTTCCCTGCACCGCGTCAAGGAGACATCTTCAAGGATAAATAGTTGTCATGTCAACCAAGAACCAAGCAGAGTGGAAGTTATATGCCTGTAAACAGGGTCACCAGTTTACTTTGTATACTTTAAAAATTGACTCTGTAACACGAGTTTACAGTTAGGTTTTAAAAAAGTTCATAATAAAGAGAATGTAATTATTTTTTATTTATTTGTTCGAAAATGATAATTTATGAAAATTCCTTATTTTAAGATTAAATATTTAATTATATGCTTTGACTTTTTTAATGGAAAAACTGATTTTCATTGTACCCTGAGCTAGCCTTCAAATTATGTATGTGTCTGTGTGTCTGTCTATCTATCTATCTATCTATCTATCTATCCATCTTATACAGAGTTTGAATATTACTTTTCCATATTTTTTTCTAAAACTTAATTCATGTGATTTATCTTAGGGAAAAGGCTAAAAATTATTATAAGTGAATTTGTAACTTAAAGCTTGAAATATTCCATATCCTTACACAAAATCAAACACAAGCTCACAAAATACAGAAGATAATCTTATATACTTGAATGTTATTAAGCTTCCTGCTTAAGCCTTACAAATATTGCTTAATGACTCTTTAATGATAGGTTACTGTAGCTTACAATGGGATGTGTCATTGACTGTTCCTTTGTGCTCCAAAGCTTTATGGTCGTTAAGTTCAAGTGCAAGCGAATCCTAAGACAGTGGTCTGTGGCCGTAGAGACACAGCTGGCTCCTCAGCTGGCTCCTTACAGGTCATCAGGCCGCAGAGAGCACACAGCATACCTGCTCGCCCACTGTGCAGTGAATGCTTCTCATGCTCTGGGTAGCTTCTCATGCTGCTTTTCTCCTTAAATATGAATTTTGATATTTTTTAGATATGCAAATAGAACAATGTATGATTTGGGATAATGAGGTTTCATTTCCATATCCTCAATAGACTCTAAAATGTGGTTAGAATTCCCAAATACCTGCAGTGATGGAGTTTATAGTATGAGATAGTCATTTAAACTTGTAAGGAAAGGGAAGAAAATAGGAAAACAGGGAATGGTACATATCCACCCTAAGAACATTAGAATATATTGACTATATTTGATATTTAAAACTGTTTTGTAGTTAGGTACTATAGCTATTATAACCAGATTAAAAACAAAATTTTTGAAACAGTGTCTCAGACTGTAGTTCAGGCCAGCCTCAAACTCTCACTGAGTTACAGGATGGCCTGTAACTCAAGGTGACGCTCCCACCTCAGCCTCCTGGGTGCTGGGGTTACAGGAGTGGTTATGACCAGCTATTGGTCACTAGAACAGTGTGATGCCTCAGAACAGTCAGTAGATAGTGCTCTGCGTCCTCCTATTTGCCAGAAGAGTTTGGACTGTAATGTGTAGCTCCTTCTATACATTGAGCACCTCAGTCCAGTCCATTAGGTACACAGCTATTAACCCTAATGGAGTTCACAACATATTGAACATATGCCATGCATTAAAACGGCAAAATGTGTAGGGAAAACTTTAGTATGTCGTTACTTTTTTAAACATACTTATATTTTTACATATGTCTATAAATTATAGATTGACTATATATCAGCAATTTCTTTTTCAAATTTTTATTTATTACTCCATATGTATGGCTATTTTGCCTCCATTTATGTATGTGCTCCATGTACATGGCCTGATGTCCACCAAGGTCAGAAGAGGACATCAGTGCTTCCCTGGGACTGAGTTGCAGTGGTTGCAAGTTGTCATGTAGGTGCTGGAAATCAAACCTGGACCTCTGGAAGAACAAGTGCTCTTAACCACTGAGCCAGCTCTCCAGCCTCCTTGTTACTTCTTTGTTAGTTCCATTTTCTGTGGGTTTTATTTGTTTTTAAACTGATTCCCAAAGAGGCTACAAAGACTTATCTTTTTGTAAAAATATTTTTATTTTATAATTAATTTAATTATTCATATCAGAAGACTTACCTTATATAGGCCATGAAGCCT